AAACAGTAAATAGAGAAAGGAAAAACAATTTGGAACATTTTTCAAAAGAGTTAGGAGTTGGGCTGTTTTAATCCATCAAAACTGTAGTAAGCCACCTTAAAAAAGGACACTAGTATAAAGTTGGTCTCCTGTTTTAGTAAGGGCGATAAATCATCTAGGATAATGTCTAGTTTTATCTTTTGTACATAAGACTGATGTTAAATTCTGGTTCACGTTTAGATTCATTACCGCCTCGATGAAGACAAAAGCTGGGCTTTGAACATCACTGAACTTAAAAGGGCGTTGGACGAGGCGAGACCGCACTGCGTTCCAAGGGGACTGGTGCTGATTAACCCAGGCAACCCAACAGGTTTGCTGAGTTTATTTCCCTAGCTTCGAAACGTAGCGAAAAAAAAAACGAAAATTTTCCATCGGGAAGCTTCGAAACGTCAGATTAGCAGATAGTCTAAACGTCGTATTATAAGGCGCGGTATAAAAAGCAGTACCTTTGGTCTATAAAACTGGTGTATATAAAGTAGCAGACAACAAATTTGGGAGAAAAAAAACTCGATTTGGGCCATAGAGGCTATGGTTTCAGTTATTTTCTCCATTGTCTTTTTTTAGGCCAGGTTCTAACGTATGAGAACATTCAAGAGGTCGTCAAGTTTTGCGCTCGAGAGAAGCTGGTATTATTCGCCGATGAGGTTTACCAAGAAAATGTGTACGCTGATGGAGTTCAGTTTCACTCGTGTAAGAAAGTCGTGAGGGACCTGGGAGAGGAATACAGCGAGTTTCAGCTAATCTCTCTTCATTCTGGTGCAAAGGGATATACTGGAGAGTAAGGTGTACAATGAAGATATCTGTAGATATATCGCCTGAAAATTGAATGGGTGAAATACGTCAAAGGTAGTCATATAACTTAAACATCTGTTTAAACTTTGATGTGAAAAGCATGTAAGCTTTTTCCAATATTGGCGTCAAACAATGTTATTTATTTATTTAGTTATTTATTTATTTATTTACTTATTTACTTGTTTACTTATTTAGTTATTGATTTATTCTTGTAGATGTGGTCTTAGAGGTGGATACATAGAACTTGTAGGACTGAGTGATCAAGTCAAGTCTCAAATCAAAACGTACCTGAGCGCGAGATCTTGCCCGTCAACAATAGGGCAGGTACGAAAATAAACCTCAAATGACACAGGTGAAGACATACCTTGCGGAAACAAAAGGTGGACAACCACAGAGAGCCGGCGTTGCATCAATAATGGCGACACTTTTTATCTTTCCGTGCTGAAAAGACTTAGTGTACGTTAGCGTGTCTTTTGTTCAGACGGTGGTTAGAGAAATAACTAGTTCTCTGAAATTGCCGAAGTCTGTAGTCATGGTCAAAAGTTGATCGGTAAAACAGTATGTTGTTGTTCTTCTTGTAAGTATTCGCGCCATTATGAACTTGTCAAAACGTCCGCAGACTTTATCAAGTAAACCAATGACCACGCAACTTACTCGATATCCTTTTTTGAATGATAACATCTTTCACTAAGTTTCCTTGCTTTTTTCTGGGAGGAAAAGGCGGGTGGTGTTTGCTGCTATCGCTAGCACGTTTATTTAGAGGGGGACAGGGTGGGATGCGAGCTGGGTGTAAAACAAGCAAGTCTCGTTTTTTTCCTTTCTCTCCTTACTTTCTTTCTTAGTTCTTTCTTTCTTCTTTTTGTCGTACTTTCTCCCGTTTTTCTTCTTCATTCTTTTCGTCCACAAGTTTCCCGTCTCTCTTTCACTCCTTCCGATTCTTTATGTCGTCTTTCTCAGGTAATCATGGGACTCGTTTGCAACCCTCCCAGTCCAGGAGAGGAATCTTACGAACGTTTTACGAAGGTGAGCTCTTGGATACTGAAATGTTTCGCTTCAGAACGTTTACAACTTAAATAGATATTACTATACACTTGGAAGATCCACCAAACAAACTTGCTACTGATAATTTGGTTCATTAGTTGTTGTCGTCGATATACGAAGCTGAACAACTCGGAAAGAGCCGAGTCTCTAAAGAGAAAACACTGCCCATAATTTTTCATTAAAACTGATTTTTTTTTTTTTTT